AGAGAACCCCGAGGATGCACCACAATCCAGGGGTCCAGAAAGAGGCATGACCACTGCAATTATGCAAGCTGTGCAGCCCAGCGCGTTCAAACCAGCAACAATCACCCCTTACTCAGGGCCAAATGAAAGTACCGAGACCTAAGCTGACCCCAAGGGCAAGGCAGAAGCCAAGTAACCGCTACCACTATGGAAATGGGAACCCGAAGGACCCAAAGAAGAAAACTCTGAGACCCAAGGGGGTGTACTTACACAGCACTGAGGGAAGGGAGCCCCAAATGCTGCCAAGGGCTGCATAGCCCTTGGTACCAACTCCTGATCACCGTCAGCACCATCTTACCAGGCAGTCGGGACCATCTTGCATCCTACTGGGAGAAGGACCAACTAGAATCCTACTCCCTCATAAGAGGTGAGGAAGCTAAGAAAGTCATAGGACTCTACATAATGAAGAAAATAGCCTGCCAAAACAGCCAGGGGGTTATCTTCTTGAGGTTATCTCGAGATGATTTCGGGGCTTTTTAGTGTCCCCGCGGCTCGATCCTCGACCAGGCCTCCACCCCAGGAAGCAGCCCGTGACAGCTGACTAACACCCAGGTACCTATTTTACTGCTAGGTAACAGGGGCATAGGGTGAAAGAAACTCTGCCCATTGTTTCTCGCCAGCGCCTGGGATCGAACCCAGGACCACAGGATCACAAGTCCAGCGTGCTGTCCGCTCGGCCGACCGGCTCCCGGTCGGTCACAAAACATTCATACGGAAATATTTTGTAAAAATAATGTACAGTGGTACCTAAGAATACGAGTGTTCCTGTATACGAGTTTTTCGGAATACCAGCAGGATTTGCTAGGAAAATTTGCCTCGGAAGGGGAGGGTTGCCTCAGAAGACGAGGGTGTTGACACGCGTACAGGCCGACTAGCACATGGTGGCATGGCAATCGCGCCCAGAGACTATCCCGCCTGAATTCTTCATAAGGATTTACAGTTTTTTGTCCGTTTTTTGGCCATTTGAGCATAAAAGTTGTCATTATATATCTCGCCATGGGTCTCAAGAAAGCCATTGGTAAGGTTCAACCTAAGAAAATAGCTGTGAGTAGAGGCAGTAGAGGATGTCCCTTCTTGATTAAGAAAATGTGTGAAGTATAGGAAGAACTGCAAAGTTTTGTTGAAAAAACTCACTCAGATAAAGCTGTAGCAGGCCATTGCATTGACCTTTTAAATGACAATGTGATGTCTTACTACAGACAAGTGTTAAAATGTAGGGAAAACATTTTGACTGACACACACACACACACACACACTAGAAAACTACAAAGTGATGAGGAGGGGAAAGTGTGGTCATTAAGACGAGATCTTTCAAAAGAAGATAGAGAGAAGCTGAAACTGAACCTCGCCAAGGCAAAACGTTTAAATGAGAGCAGGAATGAAGAAGAAATCAATTCTTTTTTCTACAAAGTGATAGGGGTAGGCAGGCCAGTAAAGTGGTACATAAAGGCAAACCAACAAAATCATTAGAGAAAGGGGGAGTGAAAAATAAGAAGAGGGGGAACAAGTTCCTTAAGATTGCATACACCAACATAGATGGAGTAAGATCAAAGATACTGGAGTTAAGTGATATAATACAGCTGCAGACAACAGATATTGTTGCACTCACGGAGACAAAACTTGAAGATGCTATTTTAAATGAGGTCATATTCCCAAGGGGCTACTCAATTTGGAGACGGGACAGAAAAATCAGGAAAGGCGGTGGCGTTGCTGTGCTGGTGAAAGAACACCTAAAGGTGAACGAAATAGTGACGGCCAATCCACAAGAAGTTGACATAATAGCACTAGAGATCTGCCATGAGGATGATAAACTAATGATCATAAATGCATATAGTCCACCGCTAAGCAGCACATGGTCAAAGGAGGAGCTAGATAGTAAACGAGAAGGTCTTACAACAATAATGAGAGAGATCATAGCGAGAGCAGATAACGATAGTTCACGACTGTTGATAGTCAGCGACTTCAACTTGAAATCCATAGCCTGGGAAGCATGTGAAGCTTAAAACAGAAAATTTCTGGACCTGTAAATTTGTAGACCTCATCCTGGAAACATTCTTGTATCAACATGTTAAACAAGCTACGAGGATGAGGGAAGGGGACGTTCCCTCCATGCTAGATTTGATATTTACCAGGAAGGAGGAAGAAATATTTGACATTCAGTACCTTCCTCCCTTGGGTAAAAGTGACCATGTCTTTTTGGGAATAAAGTATGCAATGCATTATAATCTAGAAGAAAATATGACGGTCAATGCAATTGAAAAACCTGACTTTAGGAGAGGACATTATGGCAACCTTAGAAAATTTTTTAGTGAGTATAATTGGACAGACTTGTTGCTAGGCAAGGAAGTGAATGAGATGTATGTCAGGTTTTGTGAAATATATGATAGAGGCACAAAAAAATTTATACCAAAACAGAGAAGCAGTACTAGGAAACAGGATTGGTTCAACAGAAAGTGCGAGAGGGCCAGAGACCAAAAGACACAAAAATGGAATCAATACAGGAAGAGGCCGAACCCCCAAACATACCAGCGATACAAAGATGCGAGAAACAACAACACGGCAGTGAGGAGAGAGGCAGAAAGAAATTTTGAAAAAGGGATTGCACACAAATGTAAAACAGAACCAGGTCTATTCTATAAATTCATAAACAACAAATTGCAGGTAAAGGATAATATTCAGAGGTTGAAAATGGGAAATAGATTCACGGAAAATGAAAAGGAAATGTGTGAAACATTAAACGAAAAGTTCCAAAGTGTGTTTGTACAAAATGAAATCTTCAGGGAACCAGATACAATAAAAATTCCAGGGAACGACATAGAGCACATAGAGGTGTCTAGAGACGAAGTGGAAAAAATGCTCAAGGAGCTAAATAAGAACAAAGCAGTTGGTCCAGATGAAGTTTCACCATGGGTTCTGAGAGAATGTGCACCTGAGCTCAGCATTCTTTTTCAACTGATTTTTCAGGCATCCCGGTTTACAGGAGTTGTAGCTGATGTGTGGAAAAAAGCTAACATAGTTTCAATCTACAAAAGTGGAAGCAGGGAAGACCCCCTTAATTATAGACCGGTATCATTGACAAGTGTAATAGTCAAAATATTGGAAAAAATAATTAAATCTAAATGGGTAGAACACCTGGAGAGAAATGATATAATATCAGACAGACAGTATGGTTTTCGATCTGGAAGATCCTGTGTATCGAATTTACTCAGTTTCTATGATCGAGCAACAGAGATATTACATGAAAGAGATGGTTGGGTTGACTGCATCTATCTGGACCTAAAAAAGGCTTTCGACACAGTTCCACATAAGAGGTTGTTCTGGAAACTGGAAAATATTGGAGGAGTGACAGGTACGCTTCTAACATGGATGAAAAATTTTCTGACTGATAGAAAAATGAGGGCTGTGATCAGAGGCAATGTATCGGACTGGAGAAATGTCACAAGTGGAGTACAACAGGGTTCAGTTCTTACACCAGTGATGTTTATTGTCTACATAAATGATCTACCAGTTGGTATACAGAATTATATGAACATGTTTGCTGATGATGCTAAGATAACAGGAAGGATAAGAAACTTTGATGATTGTCATGCCCTTCCAGAAGACCTGGACAAAATAAGTATATGGAGCGCCACTTGGCAAATGGAATTTAATGTTAATAAATGCCATGTTCTGGAATGTGGAATAGGAGAACATAGACCCCACACAACCTATATATTATGTGAGAAATCTTTAAAGAATTCTGATAAAGAAAGAGATCTAGGAGTGGTTCTAGATAGAAAACTATCACCTGAGGACCACATAAAGAATATTGTGCGAGGAGCCTATGCCACGCTTTCTAACTTCAGAATTGCTTTTAAATACATGGATGGCGATATACTAAAGAAATTGTTCATGACTTTTGTTAGGTCAAAGCTAGAATATGCAGCAGTTGTGTGGTGCCCATATCTTAAGAAGCACATCTACAAACTGGAAAAGGTGCAAAGACATGCTACTAAGTGGCTCCCAGAACTGAAGGGCAAGAGCTACGAGGAGAGGTTAGAGGCATTAAATATGCCAAAACTAGAAGACAGAAGAAAAAGAGGTGATATGATCACTACATACAAAATAGTAACAGGAATTGATAAAATCGATAGGGAAGATTTCCTGAGACCTGGAACTTTAAGAACAAGAGGTCATAGATATAAACTAGCTAAACACAGATGCCGAAGAAATATAAGAAAATTCACTTTCGCAAACAGAGTGGTAGACGGTTAGAACAAGTTAGGGGAGAAGGTGGTGGAGGCCAAGACCGTCAGTAGTTTCAAAGCGTTATATGACAAAGAGTGCTGGGAAGACGGGACACCACGAGCGTCGTTCTCATCCTGTAAGTACACTTAGGTAATTACACTTAGGTAATTATACACACACACACACACACACTATGGTAAATGTCAAGGATGGGTGGAAGTAGTTCATAAGGAATAAATGTATTTGAATGTAATGTACATGACAATTCACAAAGAGCATTAAAATCCTGATCTCAAAATGGTTGGCAATTGCTTAGGACGACTGTCGAGGATGGCAATGCTTTTGTCCGATGGTGTATACAGGTATTGTATTCTGAACTATATAACGAATAGATGAGTGATAGTTTTAATGTTTTATTATTCATTTTCTATAAATTGTTTACTGTATTATTCATCTTTTATTTCTACCCACCACATGAAAATGGGAAATGGAATAATTATGTATGTATGAATTAAAACCCAAGTTGATTCATAATTAAAATACCAACTTCTGGAACACTATCTACAAAGAATACAAATTGTCATGAAGTCATGTAATGAGAAGTGGCAAAGTTGCAAGGTGTGAAGGTGATTTTACTAAGAAAACCCAACTATATAACAAGCAAATGACAAACAACACCCTCAGAGATTAATATATGCATCTTTTATATAAAATTCTGATTTAGAAATGCTTACTAGATTCCTGAGTTGTTAGAAACTTTAAAATGAGGCCCAATACTTCTGCAGCTGCACCATATATGCTTGAGCGGTTAGCACCCAGCAGCCGAATCAGCAAACTCTCACACCTGTAAAACACAATGTAAACAAAATTAAAATAAAAATTAAATGATAATCAAAATATTTACCTTCCATATGTAAGTTGTCACGTGAATCCCCTGCATAGCAGTTTAACTGCCTTTTCCACTAACCCTCAATGCCTCTGCACTGGAAGTTCAGTTTTCTACACCAGCCAAGATGAGTCATCAGTCCTGCCACCTCTCCATACCTCCCCAGACCTGGCACGGCCTGGTACGACTCAGAAGCAAGCAGGGCGCCTCAGCTAACCGGTAGTTTGCCTTCACAAACAGTTAGCTGCCTTCAACTAGCAGTGGGGTGCCTCAACACAAGGCGCTGCCAGCCACAAACTAGCAGTTTGCTATTAGCATTTGTTACCACCTTACGTTGACACCGGATGCGAGTCATCACTGCCAGACTATATTAAGGGGCACCGCCTCCCTAGAGAGCCAGTCTCGTAGTGCTCTTAGATCACCTTAGCCTCCTGCTACGCTGTCTGCCCTCAACCTATGTCCTGTGCCGGATGCTGTGGTGGTATGGTAGTTGTCTTCAGCACACTAGTATTGTCTTGTATCAGATTCAAACTTTCATATACTTATTTTATTTGTTCTACAATAACAGCCCAGTGTTCTCAGGTATCATTTGTGTGCCAAGCCGCCTGAGGGCCACGAAGCTCAACAAAGAAAATGGGAAGACATCGGTGCGCATTTTAAAACCAGTCCCAAAAAAATCAGATAAAAACCTGATTTTTGGCGATTATTTAAAGTGGATGACGCAAAGCTGCGTCATCCCCGGTATTACCGACAGTAAACGACTGTAGAATCTCGTCTTCACTCATCACACCATATCCTGGATCATTGGCATCTTGTTCAAGCCAATCAACCACATCCTGTCTTTCTAAGTTTTCGCCGGCATTTCTAAACATTCCAGGGATTTTATCTGTAAATCCTTCAAAATCCATTTCTTCATCCTCCTCATTTCTGACCGTAGACGTGAGGAGTTTTTTCCAGGAATTTTTCAAAGTCGATTCCTTTAATTCACTCCACACCTTGGCCCAGTTATAGATGGCTTCCTTGATTGTATAGTTCTTCAAATTCTGAAGTTTTTTTTTAGCCCTGTTATCCACACTGGGTTCAATATCTTCCGGAAGAGGCAAAAACCACCAAAACTTCGTTTAGCATTTTTTTGGTGTACAACCTCTTCGTAGCACCGATAACACTCCTGATCCATAGGCTGAATGAGAGAGGTTGTGTTAGGAGGAAGTGCCATACACGTTATCTTGCCATCATGTGAGGTTAACGTGTCAATCCTGGGGTGGGCAGGCGCATTATCAAGCAACAGTAAAGCCCGAACTTCGCTTGGCCTTATTTTGAGTTTCTTAATTTGATAGGCACGAACTTCCCTGCAGAACACGTCATGAAACCAGGAAAGAAAGATCTCTTGTGTAAACCATGCATTTTTTGAGTTATAATATTTCACTGGCAGTCTGTCCATGCAATGTTGCAAGGCTCTTGGTTTCTTAGATTTGCCAACAATTGCACACGTGATTCTGTCTGTGCCGTCGGCATTCGCACACATCATGGCTGAGAGCCTGTCCTTGCAAACCTTACGTCCTGGCACACAACCCTCACTCCTCATTGCTAGTTTTTTCTGGTAAACTCCTCCAATACAACCCAGTTTCATCTGCATTATAAATTTGATACGAATATATATTATTTGCCACAATATATTCTCGTAATTTATGTTTAAATGGTTCTACACTGCTTTCATCTGCACTCAGTTTTTCACCGACAATTTTCCTCTTCACAATATTGTGCCTACCCTTGAACCTTGCAACCCACCCTTCACTCGCTTCGAAATTCTTTATTCCAAGGCTTTCAGCAAATCTGCTTGCAGCATTTTGTATTTCTGGGCCGCGAATTGTCACGCCAGCTGTGCGGTGCTGAGCAAACCACTTGTACACAGCCTCATCCAACTGCACATGCGTCGTAGTTTTCATAGTTTTTCTACCACAACCTCCTTCACTTTCACAGGTTGAAATGAACTGCATAAGTTTCTATTTTTGTTTCCTTATATCAGAAACAGTACTAGTGCCTATATTAAATTCCTTGGCAACACTTGAGGTCGACCGGCCATGTTCACAAAGTTGTATAACACGTAGCTTGTCCTTAAGTGTTAGGACAACCTTCTTCCTCTTACCACCTCCAGAACGATTCATGCTGCTACCAGACATGGTCTTGGCCAAAAATGTTCAAAGTTACTATGAAAATAAAAAAGTTATTTAAAAAAATATTTCACTAATGGCGCGGCACTGTGGTGTAACACGAGGTTAGAGAGCACATGTCTTGACCAGGCCTGGACGGGTCCAGTCGGGGCAGGGAGGAGGCACGTTACGTAGGCCGCCAGGAGGAAAAAAAAAAATATATTTTTGAAGGAAACTTCAGCCTGTGCAAATTGTTTTTAGGAAACTTGTATGGATTTTTTTATTACATAATTACTAGTAATTCTTTTGATTTTAGCTATGATGAATTGTTCTAAAATTGATAGTAATTACTGTACTGTAGTGTATAGGCTACTCCCCATCCCCCCAGGTGGTCCCTCCCAATGCTCCCCTCTCTCCCGACACCATACACCCACCCCACCCCCACCTACACCATGCGCCTCGAGTCTCGGGCAGACGGGATTAATACCGTATGGCCCGCCTCATGTTTTCATATAAGGACAAAGGCACGATTATCCGGGCGACTGATCGGATAGTGTAATTTCTGCAGAAAATTAACCGGGCCCCAACATTTTATCTGACTAAACCTACTTTAATCCGGTCCCTGTGGCTATTTTGGCCGGATATTGTAATAACTTTATCCGATCGCGATTTTGGCCATATAAGGGCGTTTTCCGGATGTTTGAATCCCGGATAATCGCGGGGTTACAGTATATTGACATTATTAGGCGATGCTGTGGTCACACGCTGAACAGCAGAGCTGTGCGCCCATGCTGCGAGCACCAGCCTTGGTTGCTCGCTCACTACTGAGGCTCTGACACCCGGCAATGTGGACCATGATTTTTTTTGAAGATAGCGTCTGTTTACAAGAGCCATGAGGAAGCCCCATGTAGCGGCATGAGTTTTGAATGGAACGTGAAAAATAAAAACACCCGGAGGTGCATTGCGCACCCGAAGCATGGGCCTGCAGGCGTGTTGCGCAGTTAAAGGGTTACTGTTACTGTAAGGGTCAAAGCGGCATTTTTTTTTTTTTTGTATTTGTGTGACAGAGCCATACCACCTTGGTTCAGTATAGCTGCGATACCACAAACCATCACATAGATTTGTAGGCCTGTCCAGGATGCTGTCCAAGGAGCTGTACTAAGAGTCTACCTCATTTTTCTTTTTTGTTCATTTTGTGTTTGTTTTGTATAGTCTTACCTGGTTACCTGGTTGATACCTGGTTGATGGGGTTCTGGGAGTTCTTCTACTCCCCAAACCCGGCCCGAGGCCAGGCTCGACTTGTGAGAGTTTGGTCCACCAGGCTGTTGCTTGGAGCGGCCCACAGGCCCACATACCCACCACAGCCCGGTTGGTCCGGCACTCCTTGGAGGAATAAATCTAGTTTCCTCTTGAAAATGTCCACGGTTGTTCCGGCAACCGTGGACATTGCCGGAACTTGTCTTGTTTATATATTTTTTTTCCCCCTTTTATATCAAAATTCTATTTTGTAATTGCCATTCTTGCCTTGTTTTCCTACAACCAGCCTTTTAATGCAGACAAGTATAGACCCAGAACTAAACCTCTTATCCACTATCTATGACAATCATCACTTTAATGATCAAAATTGCAGATATTTTACAGCACATGATGTAAACAATGTATTAACACATAATCACAATATCTCTGTAATCAACTTGAACGTTAGATCTCTAGGTAAACACTTCGATGATTTTAGTGCCTTGATGGAAACTATCGACAACAAATTCTCTTTTATTATACTTAATGAAACGTGGTTAAAAGAGGATACTAAACTCTTTAACATGCCTAACTACTCAGCAATTCACAACTGTTGTCAAATTCAAAGAGGTGGTGGTACTGCTCTTTACTACCACCAAGAACTAACATGCTGTCACCAAAACGAGAAGAAAAAGACCACCCAGGCCAATGACCAGGACGGCACCAGAACTCAAGAGCAGGCCAGAGGGGAAACAGCGCCCAGGACAGCAAGCGAAACAGAGCAGAAGGAACCGCGAGACCGAACGCAAGCAGGAGCGGCCCCGCCAGCCCCACCCAATACGAGGTGACAGGACACGATCCCAGACGATGGTCCCGGAACATGCATAGGAGTGGGAATGGATGGGAAGAATTAGGAGCAGCCTCGTACGGGCCAAGAGGCCCTCTGCAGTTCCTCTGTTCCTATGTCCGTATGTTCGTATGCATAAGGGGACACAGGAGGAAGCCTAGCACCCAAAGGAGCCACAGACACGAAAAAGAACCCAATCAATGTCAGAGGGAAAAGGAAGCGGAAAGCACTAGGAAGCTATGTGATGGAGGCAAACTCCACCCACAGGAGCAAACGTAGAGAAGACAGAACCCAGGAGGCTCAGGAAACTACACAACCGTCAACTGACAGGAGAGGCGGGGCCCAAGAGCCAGAGCTCAACCCCCGCAAGCACAACTAGGCAAGCGAACCACCAAAAAGCGAGAACCAGCACACCTGGCTGACATAGGCGCCAGACATGACAATCCCACTTGCAGAGCAGACACACGACCGTGCCACAACACAAGCGAGGCAAGTAACATACCAGGAGCAGCGCGAATGGTGCGCCTGAAAGCCATGCATACTAGAGGCAGTAGGCATGATATGTCCCGTTACCGGAATAAAATGCGGAAGTCTAAGGAGAAACACGTCCAGAGGCACACGCCCCACAGAAGGCTGAGCAGGACAGAGGGGGAGGAGGCGGCGCCACACCGAGCTAACCCACACCTGGAAGCAAAGGAAGAACGAAGCGACGCCCCCAGATATAA